TCCTCTTCATCCTCCTCCCTCACTTACTCACTCACTCACTCACTCATTCACTCACTCACTCATGGCATAAGGTCCTGTTTGTAAGTGCTGCCAGTGGCCCCCTCCTGAGGGCACCGCATGGCACCGCAGGAGGGGACCATTCCGAAAATGGACCGGTATCTCTGCTGACGGGGTCGGTGAAGTACGAGGGGGGAGAAGCGGACGGGGGTCCGAAAGAAGAGGTCGAAGGTAGACACGAACGACGGTTCGAGCATAGGGGGGGACGAGACGGTGAGAGGATCTGCGGGTCGTCAGCCATGCGTCCCCATAGCCCCCACCATCCCTCTGTCAGGCGCCCGTGCCTATGCCTGTCTACTTCAGAGGTGGAGGTCGTCGCGGGAATCGAGGAGGATGGAGTATATGGGGTCGGAGAGGTGGTTGGTGAGAATGCCCTGCCGATTCCTCCAAGGTAGCTGTCCACACAATAGATGGAGTAGACGAGGTCGGAGGAGCGGTCAGCGCGCATGGCCACTCGGTGCATCCGAGGTGGATGTTGACGCAGCAATCGAAGTAGATGGAGTCTACGAGGTCGGAAAGGGTGGGGCATGCCCTGCCTGTCGTAGGCGTCGAGGCGGACGTGTAGTAGGTGGAGTAAACGGAGTCGGGGGGGCGGCTGTTGCGCATGACCGATTGGATGCGTGGGTGAGGGGGAGGCAGCACCTGTGTTTGGCGTCGGGCGCGTGGGCACCTCGTGCGGCTTCGCACAGTGGCAAGGATGTCTATCGCCAGTGGTTACGGGCGTAGTTGGGTGACGTACTCGTTGAGCTTGTCGAAGAACTTGGAGGCGGTATCGTTGGCCGAAGCGATTTCCTTCTGACTGCCTACGACCGTGTTGTAGCTGACCTGTGGTCCCCCTACCATCGTGGCAAGGGGTGTACAACTTCTCCAGGATGTCGTGGCAGTGGGAGCGGTACTCGATGATGATGTATGCGATCAGGGCCTGTTTGCTGCTTCGCATGTTGCTGACTTGAGCGATGGTACCGCGTGCCCAGAGCTCGTTCTTGCCGTTGAAGTACATGATGAAAATTGTAACCTCATCGCCCTCGTTGACAGCGGTGGTGCCGTGGGCGAGGGAGCCCTCAAGCTTGGTGTGGTAAGGGTAGCGCATGGTGGCTCCCACAAAGAAGGTGATTGTGTCGGGGTTTGCCTTCTCTTGGATGATCGTCGTAACGGGGAACCATCCGATAGGTTTCTGGGGACCCACTTGCATCGGGGGACGTTGGTTGTCGTTTGGGATGGGAGTACTGATGCTTGGCGTCGGGTCGCAGGCGCTGGATGCAGTAGTGCGCACGCGTTGTTATCCTGCCGCGGGTGCTTCCAGCTGTCTGATCGCATCGTCGTAGTCGGTATTGTATGTTGCTGTCTTGTCTGTTGCTTGTGCTGTAGCATCTTCTGCGAAGGTCGGCAGGGTGGGCGGGGCTTAAGATATCACTGCCTTGGGGTCTGGGCATGGCATGCTTCGAGGAGAGACTTGGCGAGCTGGTTTGAATGTCGCTGGTGAGGGTCTCTGCTGGCATTGTGCTGGTCATTGTACTGCCGCTGCTGGTAGGTATGATCGCGCGAGTCATGTGGGCTGCATTGCCGGTTGCGGTCGTCACTGTAGTTTGCTCTTCGTGGGTGCTTTTTCCCTGTGAGGTCGGTTCCCGCTTCGGTACTGTCTCGATGTGGATCTCGCGCTCGAAAATGCTGTGGTCGTCGCATGGTGCAAATATGGGGGCTGCGCATCTGCTTGATGCAATGGAGAATGCGGCATACGCGTGGAGGGTATGAACCTAAATCACGCATAGGTACGACCACGAGCAAGTTGTTGCCGAAGATGAGCAAGGGCTCGGTGTCTTGGATCAGCTCGGGGCGGGAGAAGAACAGGCCAAGCGCTTGCTCGCTGTACCAAAGATGCGCTCGGTCGACCCATTCGTGGGTGTCTGGGTCCCGCCGGTAGTCGGTACGCATCTTGTCGAATAAGTCATGGATAGTGCGTGCCAGGGCTTTGTAGACCTTCTCGCGCCTGGCTGGGCGCTCCGGCATTGGGCGGTAGTCAGCCAGGGATGGATGACATATCGGCCTCAGGCTCTGGTAGAATCAGCCGTCCCTGTTGACGCTGAAGTCCTCGATGTTCTGGTCGGTGAGCTGCCGAGTACAGCATGGTTCGTAGTTGGAGTCGCCAGGGAACTTCCACTGGGTGGCGCCTGTGTCCGCATTGTGGTAGTATGCGAGGCTTCTCGTTACGTCAGCGCGCGCGGCCCAACCAGATGGCAATCTCCTGTGGAGAGATGGGTCAGGTGAGAGAGTTTCGCCCTGCTTGTACGTTGGTGGGTCGCCATGGGCTGCGGAAGCATCGGCTGGCCCCTGGCGTCGTCGTGGTAATTCGTGTGGGGGGTCTGCCTGGGGGCGGGACAGGCGGCGGCGGCGGCTGGTCAGGATCGGAGTTTTGGCATGCTGGCACATGGGCTGGAAGACGTTCGGCACAGGGATTGGCATGGTTGGGTGGAATTGCGGGGTGGATCTTCGCTGAATGAGCTGTAGGTCGGTGCGTGTCGTAGTTGTGCGCGCTGGGCGTTGTACTTGTTGTGGTCGAGCCTCTGGGAAAGCCGCGTGCCAATCGGGGAAGGTGTTGTGGGTCCTGTTGATGGGCTGAAAGCCAGCGTTGCGTGGTTTGTGGCAGTAGTGAAGCAGGCGAAATGTACTGTGGCTCTCCTCGGCGTAGATGAGATACTGCCTTGCTTCGCGGGCCTCGCATTCGGAAAACTCGTCAATGGCGGTAACCTTTAGTCTGCATGATACCGTCAAATATGATCTCAGTAGGTTGCTTGTACTCTGGTGTTTCGTAGTCGGCTCGCTGTCTCGTCTCGGTGGGTGCACCCCCATCGGGGGTGGATTCTACGCGGTGGAAGATGATCTCCCGCTCGGTGGCCTCAGTGTGGACGTAGGTGTTTCCGTCGGTTATTGTTGCGCATGCCTCCGAGTAGTAGTGATATCATGCAGAACCTGTGCCGGGTAGTCGATGAGGGCGTTGTCGACGATGGCGGGCCATTTAGGAAGGTCACTGGCGGGCGCGCTCGGCTTGCGCACGGCATGTCCCCGTCCATGCCGATAACAGCGTGGCGCCCAGTTGGTGGCATAGATATACTGGTACTCGTTGTCCTCTAAGGTCCGCCTCGTCACACTGTAGTCCACTGGTTGTTTGCGGTGTAGTGTGGTGGCGATCGATGGGTAGGATGTGGATATCAGCACATGGGTGTAGTGTCCCCCCTTCCGCGGGTTCCTATGATGTCCCTTGCGTATGCCGATAGTCTCCCTATCTCGGAGGTCGGATGCAAGGCGCCGTAGATGCCAGTGGTTGCCACAAACTAGACCTTCTGGCTGTATCGCTCGATGTTGCCGTGGATGGCCTTACGTTCTAAATCCTCGGAATTGTTGCGCTTCTCCATGCCCTTCACTCTCAAGATGTGTAGGGTCTGCAGACTGGTTGACGGCTCCTCGTCATTGTTATTCCTCGGTGGTGCTTGTAACTGTGGTGGGTCTGTGCTTGCGAGTGGTAGGATGTCTTGCCATTCCAAGTGGTGGACGCGGTCGTTGGCAGCGTCTCCTGGCGCGCGGTACTTTGCGGGAAGCGGCAGTGCACGCAGAAATCAGGTCTGTCCATCCAGCGGCCAGTGTCGGTCCACACCTCGCTGTTGGAGTGGGCCAGAAAGTTATCGCAAGCAGAGCCCCACCTCTCCTTGAACCTGTCCTTCCATCATTCCCCAGTTGCGGCGAGGTAGGCGATGGCGATGTGGTGGCGGTAAGTGGTTCGCACAAGTCCGCCCTACACTGCCGCGGATGCGTACATGTAGCCCAGGTCGAGATAAACGCGCGTGTAGTGGCGCGCGAGGGCGCCAGATGTGTCGATTCCGAGTGATGGCCTTACAATGCCTGAGCAAGCAGCGGCTCCTTGTGGCCCTCCTCGGGGGACTCCTGGGATGTAGATTAGCGCCCCCTTGTCGTCGTAGCCCCTGCTGTTGGACATGAGGGTAGGCATCCATGATTGTTGGTACTCTGGCGGAGCCTCGCTCCGCATCTCACGTGGAGATCCGCTGATGTCTGCGACCCGTTGTTCTCTAGCGTGGTCTAGGTCCATGACTCCGTTGATGCAGTAGGGCCCGACCTCAGTGAAGTCGATGAACTCCGGTAGCTTACCAAGAGGTTTCTGCGGATATTCAGGTGCATTCGCCTTGACCGTCTCGAAGTAGACTGGTCCGCTGAGAATGCAGACCCATCGGAGGCTGCCTGGCGCACTGCGCTTGGCACTGAGGTGTGCGAGGGGCGCGCTGGTCAGCTTGGGCTATGTTCTCGAGCCGAAGCTGGGCTGCGGTTGGCGATGTGTTGGCTGCGGTTTGCTGGTGGCGCGTTGAGGCGGCATCTTTTTTACAGGGCGAGCGATCGGGCGCCATGGTGGGGCGTGCCGGAACCAGTGCTGAGGCAACGGTGCGTATCCGAAGCAGTGGACCGCAGCGGCCCGCACTGCGCCCACGGGGTCACCCTGTCGCGCTGCATTGCCTGTGGAAGTTGAGCATGTAGTCGTCTCCGCTCTAGAAGTCGCAGCACGAGTCCAGCAGGATGTAGAGGCCCGCAATGTCGCCTGCCATGCCCTTGTCCCCGAGGTCTCGCGGTCGCGTCCACGCGCGGCGGATGGCGCCCATGATGGCGTGAGCTAATAGTCTGCACATCTCGGTGGTGCACGTCTCGGCGGCGAAGCTCCTCGACGAGCCGCCGTGGTTCATTCCAGTTGAAGAGGTGGTATCTGATGCCATGGCTACAGATTCCGTGTTTGAGTAGTAGCGTCATCGCCCGCCGCATTTCTGATACCTGTGCTGCGCGGAGTGCCAAAGGTACTACGGATGTCTGTCCAGACGTGCATTGGTCGAAGGTGATGACGCCCACCCCGTCAATCCCACTCAGGTGCGTTAGTTCTGGTAGTAGCCAGCAGCATGGTGCGTCTCTACTGTCGTTGACTATGGCGGGGTGCCCCATGACAACGGGGACCTTCGTGTTGATGCATATGTATGCTAAGACATGTGGTGGTACGCAGTAGCTGGCTGTCGTTGTGTATGTGGTCGAGCTGCCGTAAAGACAGCTGCTGTAGTCCCCAAGGCTGCTGTCGGCTCCTCAGAGGTCGTGGCTGGCGACCGCCCCATGTCTCGTAGGGTGGTCCAACTATGATCGCGGCGACGCAGACGCGTAGGAGCTGGTCTCCCCAGAACTGCATGGTGTCCCAGCTCGCGAGATCTCCCTGGATCTTGTCGTGGGTGATGCCGATGGAGAGGGTTATGATGCTGTTGTCGCTGAAGTTAGGGGAGTCTGTCCGTTGTTGTACGTCACCAGTGTCTGCGTCCGCTGTATATGTGTAGGATGACCTGTCTTGAAGTTTCTCTGGGTCTTGGCATGGGCGCAGTGCCAGGTCTTGGTTCCAATGGTGCTGTAGCAGGTATGGACAGCTCCCTTGTAGCCCCGTGGTCCCTGACGCATAGCGGCGGTATGTCCGTCCTGTAGCTGGCGAGGCGTCCGCGTTGCGGAGGTAGTCCAGCCTTAATGTTGGCTCCTTGCTCGTCGCGCATGGCTTCTCTGTTCGGGTCTGCAGTTATTGTCGATACTCAGCTGCATTCGCTTGTAGACCTCCTCGCGCAGTGGGGCTCTGCGCCTGCACAATTATCCGCTGCATCTCTGGTCAGTGTCTTCCGTCGAATATGGCGGTACCTAGCGATACCTGGTGATTGACGAACTCGATTGGCTCTCCGAGGCGCTCGTTCTCGATGCGTGTAATGTTGTTCCTGGGACGTTACCCCATGGCTATTCAACTGCAGCAGGAACAACGCGATCTTTGTCTCTTTGGCATGGAGTCGCACGCCGTGGCGTGGCCCATGGCCAACTTGACTATGATGTTGGAGAGCGCCATGGCCGTGAAAAAGGTATCCGGCACAGCGTCGCGTCGCATGCGGGCGTAGGCGGTCATGTTGTCTACGAAGGAGGTGTCGGTAAGCTGTGCTCCTCCGTCCTCACCGTCTCTTGCACGTCCACCCTTGGAGAAGATGTATTCCTGGTGTCCTGCGTCGACGTCGATGCGTAGGTGGCCGTCGATCATGTCCTCCGCGAAATGTCGCGTAACCTTTGCACAGAGGTAGTTGAGGGTGAGGTCTAATGCTGGTGCTTCAGGCCAGGTGCCAGCAAGTGGCTGCGCCATTATGGTAGATCTTTCGTGGTGGCCCACATGTCTGCGCGCGCGTCTTGTAGTAGTGCGCAGAGGTGCTCATCGCCCACGTTGTGGTTGAATATAGGCGCTCCTTCCATGGCCATCTGTAGTGCGGGCAGGAATGGTTCGAGAATATTGATGTCGCGCAGCAAGTCGTGGAGCTCCTCTGGCGCGCGTGGGAGCTGGAAGACAAAATGCAGCACAACTCTGTAGAAGGCGTCGTTGAGGCCCAAGAAGAGGATCATAGCTGATTCACCTCTCTCTCTCTAAGGTAGTCCATGACGCCGAGGGTCGCATGCGTGACGAAGTCGGTGGACTGATGCGGTCGTGCTCCACATTGTGCGCCTCGTGACAGTTGCGCCGTAATACTCTTGAGTCTGGTGCGTAAGAAGCGGTGGTGGTGCATAGCTATGATGTTGATGAGCAATATCATCAGTCCCGCTTGTAGGTCTGGTTTGGTAGCGTTGGGCTTAGAGAATGACGCTTGCCATCCTCCTCTGCGGGAGATTGGTCCCACCGTCGCCAGCTGCGCCCTTCCCAGGAGTGGGTGGTCGATTATGGTCATCTCGTCCGGCGCGATCTTGCAGTACTCATCGAGGAGGTTATCAGGGCCCCCGCCCCTTCCTTCCTTCGCCTGCGTGAACTGGCGCTTCGTCTCTTCTTCAGTGATGATGATGTGGAGCGGTGTGTCGTACAGCGTTCTGATGGTGGCTGCGTAGTTGGCGAGGTGGTTGCACTTGTCGGCGACGTCAGGCGGGACCATGATCTTCGAGTGCTCTGCGATGGCTAAGGGGTCCAGTCCTGCTTCCGCCTGCTGCTGGTGATCAGGAAGAGGTTGAAGTCAGGGCGGATGACGTGTAGACGTTCAGCTGCAACGCGTCCCGGTCTGCCTCCGCACCTCAGGAACCTCTGGAAGTCAGCCCATGTCCTTCTGGAGTCGTCGTTGATGTAGGCGTCCTTTGCGCTGTTGGCGATGCTCTCGAAGTAATTGGAGCGGTCGGTCTCGATGGCGCGTGCAAGCTGCGGTGATGATCCGCGTAAGAACGCAAGTGCCGCTAGGGCCACCTCCTCGAGCTGGGCGTAGTTGTGTACGATGTATTCGGCTACCCGTTGAAGTGTAAGTAGGGCTTCTGGGTTCGTCATGGCCTCGTACGCACTGATGGTGGGGACACGGGCATCGTGGATCTGGTAGACGAAGTTGAGAGGGCCTTCCCGTGTCTTGAGGTTCTCGCCGCCTTGTCGCAGGCGTCGTAGCGGTCGTTGGCATGCTCTACGAACGCGGATGAGGGCAAACGACGTGGGTTGCAGGCATGGCTTCCTGGGGTGAACTTGGCCAGTCTTGCCTTGATTTCTGCCTCATGTACTTGTGGTGAGAGGTAGCTCACGTGGTCATTTCTCCCCTTGAAAGGGTGGTAGTGGGATTGTTGCGATCTCGTCCTTGAACATATCTTGTGAGCGCGTGGGTCTCTCAACTTCGCACGGTCAATGGGCATGCCAGATCACGTGATGTTGGTCTGCTCGATGGAGGCCAGGTCAACAATGACTGGGTAGTGGTCCTCGTCGACCTGGTGGGTGTCGGAGTCGTCAAGGACCTACATGCACTTGACGGTCGGCTCTTGACCGCATGGTAGGCACATGTAGTCGATCCGCTACTTGATGTCGTTCCCCACATCTGCATGACTGGGCCAATGTGTCTCAATGGCCGTGCTGGCGGCGAAGAGGTTGTGCTGCTGCAGGCAGGCGCGGAAGTACTATCCTCTCTAATTTATTCCTCTGGTTGGCCTTCATCCTCAATATGAGGGGAGGAACTGTTGCCAGCAGCATCGTTGCCATCGATCAGGATGATGTCGCCGTTGTACTCTTCCGTCTCAGCGCTGATCTTGCCCCAGAATTCGTTACAATCGAGGTCGTCAGCATGTGGGCGTGGTGCGCGTGCGACCACTATGGTTCGCCTGCACCCTTGCGCGGTCAACTTGACTATAATTCGTAAAAGAGTCTGGGTCATTATTCTCCAGTGGTTGAGTTTGAAGTAGAGCCGTTTGCCGTCGTCGCCGTGGTTGGGGAGGTGCGCATTGACGCATAGTGAGCATCCCAACTTGCGTTTGTCGCGTCCGCTTGGGATGATGGCGCACTGGCTGGCGGCATGGGTCCCCCGCGGCAGTCTCGACTCCTGCACCCCAATGACGTGCACATTTGTCGGAGAGCTGTTGTCGGATAACTGCGATTGCGGCTGCATTTCCGTGTTTGTCGTGCCCCTACTTCTCGGGAACCTCGAAGGAACGCGCGTCGTAGGTGCAGATGCGGATGTCGATCGCCTAGTCGCTGGAAGGTCTCGGCGCATTGCGGTGCGACGTGGATCGGTCGAACTTGCATCTTCGCTGGGGGTGCCTCAAGTCCGCGCTGGTACAACATAGGGTAGGCATCCTTCCCTTCGCTGTCGCTGCATGCTTCGCTGTCCTTCCCTTCGCCACTCCCACTGTCGTTCTCTGTCGGCGTGGAAAGCTCGAGCCCATTCTCCTTTTGGACATTGCTGCTGGTTGCTGGGCGTTGCTGCTTACGTATTGGCGAGACTGCCTGCTAGTTCTCTCCACGGGTGCCCTGCGCGTGCTCGTACGTGGTCAGTGTTTAGGATCACAGCCTCAGCGGTGAGGTCGTGTCGTAGTCGCACTAACTCGGTCTGCTGGTTAGGTTTCTTGGTCTGGAAATTGCCCTTCGCGACTTCTCTGGCAATCATGGAGTCAGCATGGATGGTGACGTCGGGTTTACGAGTGGCGTTGTGGGAATGTGCGCATATCCACACGCAGGCCCAAATCAGAACTGCTGTTTCTGATGTGGTAGAGGTGCTGGGAAAATTGTCACCTCTGACTGAGATGTTGCTGCGTGCGCCGACGCTTCCACGGTAGTTAAAGCCTCAGTCGTCTTCGGCCGTGATAACCGGAGCCCATGAGTCTTGGGTGGATTCGCGCTGATGTGCGCCACCTGTGCACAGGCACCATCTCTCGAACTGCAGAGGTCGAGGTAGGCACAGCTCAAGCGCCATAGCGGCGGCTGGGTGGAGGTCGGGACCCTTAGCGCGGTCATGCTGGTGCTGGAAGGTAGACGGCGACGCGCGTCTCAGGACGGCCACTATCGGCTCCGTCGGAAGGAAGGGAACTGCCGCTGTAAAGTTCCTCCCTTGCTGTGTACCTCGCGGGGGAACGGTTCCCACGCGGGTGGGATGTCGCACCCTCCGCGTCGATGTCCAGGTCTCCTCGCACGGAGCCCGGGCTGTCGTCATGCGGCGGGTCGCACCTGGTTGAAATGGGCGCTGCGGGGTCGATGGCTGCCCCGCCATCCCTCTCAGCGGCCAGGCTTGCCGAGGTTCCGTCTCGCTCGAGGTTAGCCACTGCTGGCGGTGTCTCGGCCCCCCTGCTGGCACGTGCATTCACTACGTTGCTGCAGGGGCTCTCCGAGGATATGCGTAGTCGTTTGCCTGTGCGACGCTAGTACAATGGGAGCATTGCTGCTCGCTGATTCCAGTTCGGCGCGGGTAGCGAGATCGCACATTGGGACGGGCCTGTCTGGTTCTGGAGCTGTCAGCTGTAGTGAAGTTAATTAACCCAGATGTGACGTGCTCTTCCGTGGACACTCCTAGCGAGGTGCCAGTGTGTCTAATGAGTGTAGCAAGATTGGCTCTATTGGCCTCAGTGACGGTGGCATCCCCAATGCCACAGTGCCTCGTCAGTTTTGAGATATGCCCGTGGGCGCCCCCGTCGATACTACTGCCGTCGGTGTCGTCGCGAAACTTCGTGGGGATGACGCCCCCCTCGCCTGCTGGATCCACTGCGCCTTGGCCGGTGTCCGCGGCGAAGCGCACAGGGCGTCGCGGCGCTGACTAAGGTCGACTTCATTCCAAGCGCCCGCGGTGCACGCGAACTTCTTCCGATGGCTGCGTGGGAGACTTCGGCGGCAGTGATGCCACTCTATTCGGTGGTGCGCCGATGTGAAAGGTCGGCGCTGGTCGGAAGTCAATCGGCGCCATGCACCCCGCTGGTGATATGGTTGTTTCCCTTGGGGGTGTGCATGGCGAATTTTCTGCTGTCACTGTTGGTTAAGCTGGTCGTTCCCATTCGTCTGATACCAGCGTCGGCACCTCGCCCCCCTCGAAGTCGCTGCGTGGGATATGGAACTTCTCAGACCAACTGAGGTAGTAGTCGTCGTTCCTCGGCTGCGTTGAGGCCAGTTCCCATGGCTCGACTTGAGGTAGTATATGTTCGTTGAGCGGCTCAGGTCGCGCCGTTCAAGTAGGCCCGTCGGCGTCGGGCGAGGTGGTTGGGCGTTCGTCCTCTGGCGTCGACCTAGCTAGATTGTCCAGGTCCTTCTCGCGGCGACAGTCGCCCCTCTGGGTCTGGGCACCGCTGTCCTCGATGTCGGAGATCTCGGAGTCAGAGATGCCAGTGAGCTGAGCTCTTGGGCCATCTTCCTGCGGCGTTATTCCTTGTGGCGCCTGCAACAAGGCAACGACGGAGTCGGGGGCGCTGTTCCTAAGCGAGTCGCGGGCGAAGTCTGCCTCTCTTTCCTTCTGCATTGCGCGGATCTCTGAGTGGGCGCCCTCGGGTTGCCAGGCACGTCGTTGCATCTGCACCTCTGTGACACGGCGCTCATTGTAAAGCTGCTGGAGAAAGGGCCCCTGTGACTCCATAGCGGTCCTGCTGCTTTGAGCTGGTGGTCGCAGCGCACACGTCCTGCCCGAGGCTCCGCCGTCGCCGCGCAGGGCTCTGTGTTTCTGCATGTCATCGGTCTGCCCTCCCAATACCTGGATGACTTCGGTCTTGTTATAAAACTGCTTCTCCTCAGCGTGCATGATCTGCTGTTGCCCGTAGATATTGTTCTCGACGTGGCTGATTCGTTGCTCTGAGAGGTTGCAGTCGTGCTGGATGTGCTTGCCGGCACGATCCTCGACGTCTGCGTTCCTGGATTCCGCCGTCGCGAGTCCTTGTCGTAGCTGTTGTTGTGCGTGCTGTTATTCACGGAGCTGGTGCGCTGCACTCCTTGTCTGGCGCACGCCGTTGATGTGGATATGTTGGCGGTGCTGTAGGTGCTGGATGGCTCCATCTTTCTCGTTCAAGCACTTCTCGGGGTTGCTGTACTTGATGATCGCATCCACGACTCGTGGCCGCCGCGGTCGACGCACCTGAAGTCGCGCCACTTCCAAAACTTTATACAAACACTCACCGGTGGCAGCTGTCTCCTGGTAGTTCTTGCAGCACTGCCTTGATGATCGGGGGATTTTGCTGTCGCGGTCGACGGGCTGCCGCGTGATGTCGTTAGCCTCGCGGAGCTCTTGTTTGAGGTTCTCAATGATGATCCCGTCTGTCTCGGTCTCGCGCGGGCTGTGCTCTGCGATCCTCCGTTGCATTCCCGATGCTGTGGATCTCACTATTGTGCTCCTCTATCTGGTCGCGCTCGAAGCTGTTTTGGCTTTCCTCTTCGAGCTTGTAGTGGGTCTCCTTCGCTTCCTCGAGCTGGTTGATGATGACTTTCTGCTGTGCGACATGACTTCGCTACACTTCGGCTTTCAGCCGCGATTCTTGGAGTTGTTCCCAAAGCTTGTTGACGGTAAAGGCCTCCGTAGGTACATGTGTCACTTGTGATCCTGGCAACGCTTCTCCCATGCATCCTCGGCGCCGTCTCCCGATGTCGTCCGCAGGGTCTTCGGAACGCGGTTGCTTCGCGCGCCTCCTGGACGTCGTCGCCGATTCGGCGTCGGCGCCGTCGTCCGAGTCGCCCCCCCTGATGCTGTCGTGGAGCCTTCGAAGCTGGCGATGTCGATCTCCCAATAGCGCGGCTGTTTGCTGCAGTTCGCCCAACTGTAGTTGAGCGTCGTCCATCCGGGCGACGGCGTCGTTAATCATGCTCTCGACCTCTCGCCACTGATTATTGCGTCGCGTGGGCATAGCAACATGGACTTTTACAATCGGATATTGGTGACGACGCCGTTGAAGTCGCAGTCGTCGTTGGCGCGCCTCTGGGTGGTGGTGATGAGGTAGTCAATGTCTGCAGTCCTGGCGGTACTCCCTGACCAGATCGGAGCGGCGCATTGGCGGCGGCTCGCCCCAGCGCCGCTGCCCCCCGGCTTCGGCGAGGGCCACGGGGGCGATGTCGGCAGCAGTCTCGCTTCTCTTCTCCTGTCTGCGATGCGCGTCGAGGCCGCGCCGCTGCTCTAACGCTCGCTGCTGGCGCTGTTTCATGGAGC